AAAAAGTTTCCATTTTTTTTTTTTTGGCAATCCAAACAAATTATATCCCCAATTATAAGAAATTATATCACTTTAATTGACAAATTTCATGAAAAATAAAGTCAAACGAACACTAAGAAATAGAAAATTAATTTCAACATTTTTCATATGAAAAAATATACCAATCAAACACAATTAATTGATAATTCTCAATAAAACAAGTTCTAGACAATTCAATTCATTGCAATTCTTTTTCTTTCCACCCAAATTCCACATTTGAATCAAACGGACCCTTAGTTCTTGTCTAACAACTACTTTGCTGTAACATGTGCAATTAAAAAAAAAAAAAAGTCTTATCATTTGTATTGAGAAGAAGTAAGAGAGAATATCTTATCTTTTAATTTCACTTTTATTGGAGGGCATCCTTATAGAATAATAATATTAATATCCGAAGGGCTTTGCGAGCAAGTATAAACATGTCTTCAAGACTCCAAGAGTCCTTTTATTTTTAAATATTATATTGTAAATAATATAGAGGATCTTTAAATTTAGGGATAATTGCAGTTGATGCTTCAAATCTTTCAAACAGTGGCAGACTTTTTTCTAACCTTTCAATCGTTGCAACAGTCACCCAAACCTTTCAAATTGTAACAGCTCAGGCCCCAATGAAAGGTTTTCATCCAATTTGTCATTAGTTGACTCAATAAATTAATTTTGACCACATTTTAATAAATTTATAAATGGCAAAATAGTAATTTAATATTTTTCCCATAAAATAATTAAAAACTTAAATCAAAATAAATAAATAAAATAAAAAAAGAAAAGATCTTTTTTATCAACCCCCAACCCCTCAACCCAAAATTGGAAATTTGCGACCGCTATCACCATTCCGTCGACCACCGCCACCATCGCATTTGAAAGGTTTGTAGTTGTCCCACTTGCATTTAAAAACATAGGTTCACACAAAGAATCTCCACGTCATCCAACCACGTCTGACGTCTGCCGTCCCCCACCTCCAATATGAACTTTTTCGGGATTCATAGCTATTCAATTTTTTTATTTATATTTTGTTCCCTCTCTTTAATGTGCAAAGTTATCGAACAACAAAAAAGGCGTCAATAGTAGTAATGCTGATAATGGTGGTGGTTTGGGAAGCGATGGGTCGAGTACTTATTGGACAACATATCCTTACTATTATAACTTAGACGAGTATCCTAGATTGTATGATGGGTGTTGTTTCAGGTGCCAAAATTGTAAGAGGGCATTTACTAGAGTTGAAACTTTGTCAGTGTCGCCTATGGTGATAGGAAAAGAGGCTTATTATTACTATTGGGGGTTCCTTCCAATGGGATTTGTGGTGGGGAATTCTGAAGGTATGAAGAGTGGAGGTGACAATGGGTATCCCAATTGGATGTCACCCATGTTTGGGTTGCAGGCGGATGGTATTGTGGCAGTGGATATTGGTACACTCGTGCTCACAACGGGTGGCAGTGTTTTGTGGCGATGGATATTGGCACACCCGTGCCACAACAGGTGGCAGTGTTCTGCGAAACACGAATGTGACGCAGCTACTGTTGGTACCAGTAACTTCAACTAGAGCTAAAAAATGGGTAGAGCAAGAAAGAATGTGTAGGTAATAAAATTTGAAAGTTGAGCTTGCTGAATTGGTGTAATTTGGAAAGTCTTTTATATGAGGTGAAGGCAAACTTGCCAGGCCAATGTGCTAATGGAAGGTTAACTATTTTGGGGATTTTGAAAGGCTCGCAAATATACCTCAAGTTATGTGCAA